ACATAAATAAAATAAAATAAAATAAATAAAATAAAATAATAAATAAAATTTAAAAATTTAAAAAAATAAAATAAAATAAAAATAAAAGCCATTTCCCGGCCGGGCGCGGTGGCTCAAAGCCCTGTAATCCCAGCACTTTGGGAGGCCGAGACGGGCGGATCACGAGTTCAGGAGATCGAACCCATCCTGGCTAACACGGGTGAAACCCCGTCTCCTACTAAAAATACAAAAAAAAATTAGCCGGGGCGAGGTGGCGGGCGCCTGTACTCCCCAGCTACTCGGGAGGCTGAGGCAGGAGAATGGCGTGAATTCCGGGAGGCGGGGCTTGCAGTGAGCTGAGATCCGGCCACTGCACTCCGAGCCTGGGCTGACAGAGCCAGGACTCCGTCTCAAAAAAAAAAAAAAAGAAGCCCATCTTCCCCTCCCCTAAGTGACCTCCACCCCTCCCTTCTCCCTGCCCCGCGAATCGCGTGTGCAAGCTCCGGGATCGCAGAGTTCTTAGGGAATCTCCCCCCGCGATGCCCCGACGCGCCAGTAGCTGTGCGCACTTCATTGCGGTCCTCTTCCTGCTGTCCGTTTACTCCCTGGGCCCCGCTGGGCACCTGGGGAAGAGGGAAAGGCTTCCCAGGCCAGCTGCGCGGCGACTCCGGGAGCTCCGAGGCGCCCCTCTGCGGCCGACGCCAGGTGCAGGGGCCGCCGGGACTGGGGCCGGCGGGAGCCCGCGGGACCCTCCAGAGGCGCGGCCGGCGCCGTGACTCAGCACTGGGGCGGAGCTGGGCGGGACCACCCTTATAAGGCTCGGAGGCCGCAAGGCCTGCGCTGGAGTTTCGTCGTCGCTGCCGCCGCGTGCGCCATCAGTGAGTCCTCGCGGCCCGCGCCCCCGGGGGATGGGGCTCGGATCTCCCAGCATGGGGCCAACCCACGGCATCAGGCTTGGGCTCCCGGCAGGGCCCCTCGCCCACCTCGAGACCCGGGACGGGGTCCCAGAGTACCCAGGAAGTCCCCAGTGCCGTTAGCGGCTCTCAGGGGGCCGCAGCGCCTCGGGCAGGGATGGGACCCGGGGAGGGCAGGCTGCGCGCACCGCGCCCTGGCGTCCTCCCCCGGGCTCCAGCAAACCTTTCTTTGTCCGCTTCAGTGCCGCCCTACACCGTGGTCTACTTCCCAGTTCGAGGTAGGAGCCTCTGGCAGGGAGGGGAGGCAGGGGCTAGGGCTGCAGCCCACGGCCCCTCGCGCACGCGGAGAGAACCGAACCCCCTTTGTCCCTTCGTCGTGTGACTTTTACCCCGGGCCTCCTTCCCGGTGCCCCGCCTCTCCCGCCATGCCTGCTCCCCTCCCCAGTGTTGTGTGAAATCTTCGGAGGAATCTCTGTTCCCCTGTACCCTCCCTGCACTCCTGACCCCTCCTCCGGGTTGCTGCGAGGCGGGGTCTGCCCGGTCCCCACATCTCGTGCTTCTCCCTCCCCACAGGCCGCTGCGCGGCCCTGCGCATGCTGCTGGCAGACCAGGGCCAAAGCTGGAAGGAGGAGGTGGTGACAATGGAGACCTGGCAAGAGGGCTCTCTCAAAGCCTCCTGCGTAAGTGACCATGCCCGGGCAAGGGGACGGGGTGCTGCGCCTTAGGGGGCTGTGACTGGGATCGGGGGACAGCCAAGCTCAGTGCCCCTCACTGAGCCATGCCTCCCCACACAGCTGTATGGGCAGCTCCCCAAGTTCCAGGACGGAGACCTCACCCTGTACCAGTCCAATACCTTCCTGCGTCACCTGGGCCGCACTCTTGGTGAGTCTTGAACCTCCAAGTCCAGGGCAGGGGTGGGCAAGCCTCTGCCCCCGGAGCCCTTTTATTTCAATCAGCTGCCCCGCAGCCCTCTGGAGTGGAGGAAACTGAGACCCACTGAGGTTGCGTAGCTTGCCCAAGGTCAAGCCTGGGTGCCTGCAGCCCTTCCCCTGTGCCGGGCTGCCTCTCAGGTGCCAGTTGAGCTCTGAGCACCTCCTGTGTGGCAGTCTCCCATCCTTCCACGCACTTCCTCTTCCCCTCCTCCCAGGCTGGGGCTCACAGACAGCCCCGTGGTTGGCCCATCCCCGGTGACTGTGTGTTGATCAGGCGCCCAGTCACGCTGCCTGCTCCCCCCCACCCAACCCCAGGGCTCTATGGGAAGGACCAGCGGGAGGCAGCCCTGGTGGACATGGTGAATGACGGCGTGGAGGACCTCCGCTGCAAATACGCCTCCCTCATCTACACCAACTACGTGAGCATCTGCACCAGGGCTGGGCACTGGGGGCTGAACAAAGAAAGAAGTTTCTTTTGCCCTCATCCCCCTACCCCTCACGTGGCTCGGGCTGACCCCTCCTTGGGTCAGGGTGCAGGGGCTGGGTCAGCTCTCGGCCAGGGGCAAGACACAGCTTGCACCCTCATTGCCTGGGACATGAACCAGTCAAGTAACGGGTTGTGGGGGAGAGTGCAAGGACAGAGACCTCCAGCAACTGGTGGTTTCTGATCTCCTGGGGTGGCGAGGGCTTCCTGGAGTAGCCAGAGGTGGAGGAGGATCTGTCACCAGTTTCTCGATGGAGGTGCTGGCACTTTTAGCTAAGCAAAGTATGCAGACACAGAGCACATCTGGGGACCTGGGACCAGTTTAGCAGAGGCAGAGTGTGTGTGTGTGTGTACACTTCCTTGTGTGTCGGGGGTGGGTAAGGAGATAGAGATGCGGGGAGCAGGCCCGGGTCCCGAAGGCCTTGAACCCACTGGTTTGGAGTCTCCTAAGGGCCATGGGGGCCATGGAGAAGTCTGAACAGGGCTGTGTCTGAATGTGAGGTCTGGAAGGATCCTCCAGAGAAGCCAGCTCTGAAGCTTTTGCAATCATCTAGTGAGAAATCCCAGCAAGGATGGACAGGCAGAATGGAATAGAGATGAACTGGCAGCTGAAATGGACAGGATTTGGTACTAGCCTGGTTGTGGGGAGCGAGCAGAGGAGACTCTGAGACTCTGGTCTCTGGCCTGGGGCAGACAAAGGGGGCGTCTCAGGGGCTGGGAGGGATGAGAGTAGGAGGATGATACATGGTGGTGTCTGGCAGGAGGCGGGCAAGGATGACTATGTGAAGGCACTGCCTGGGCAACTGAAGCCTTTTGAGACCCTGCTGTCCCAGAACCAGGGAGGCAAGACCTTCATTGTGGGAGACCAGGTGAGCATCTGGCCCCATCCTGTGCCTTCCTCGCCACCGTCTGCTTACAGATGGACATACGTGTGAGCCATTTGTTCAAGCAAAGTGGGGCAGACCTAGGGGATGGGATTAGGCCCTCTGCCCCCAGTTTCCCCAGCCTGCTCCCGCTGGCTGAGTCCCCGGCCTGCCTGCCCTGCAGATCTCCTTCGCTGACTACAACCTACTGGACTTGCTGCTGATCCATGAGGTCCTGGCCCCCGGCTGCCTGGATGCGTTCCCCCTGCTCTCCGCATATGTGGCGCGCCTCAGTGCCCGGCCCAAGCTCAAGGCTTTCCTGGCCTCCCCTGAGCACGTGAACCTCCCCATCAATGGCAACGGGAAACAGTGAGGGCTGGGGGGACTCTGAGCGGGAGGCAGAGGCTGCTTGCCTCCCTTTCTCCAGGACCAATACAGTTTCTAAGAAAGCTCCTGTGAGCACTGTCTTTCCTGGGAAGGGGTTCTCGGCTCTCAGCCTGGAGGTCGGGGGGAGGGAGGGCAGAGCAGAGGGCTAGAAAACGGCTGCTCTAGCATAGTCAGTGGCTTCCTGGAGCCCTCAGCCTGGCTGTGTTTACTGAACCTCACAAACCGGAATTGGGGGAAGAAAAAAAGAGAGAGAAACAAAGAGAAATAACCATGGTCACCGTCCTGGAGCACCACACAGTGTAGAGAAGGAGAAGTGTCGCGTAGAAACATGCTTTCTAGGCCCAGCAGGCACCTGTCAGAGGGACAGACTCCAGGAAGGAGGGCAATGAGGGGTTCTAGGAAGGAGGGATGTGAGGAGTTCCCTGTCCTGGGACTTTGGAGGATTAGCTGAGTAGCTCCAAGCAGCCCAAGTTGATGGGAGGGTCATTCTGCTCGGATGGGGGCTCTCCTGGCTTCCTGCTGAATTGTGAGTTTTGGTGTGTCCTAGGCAAGCAATGACATTAGGATTATTAGGAGTCTCCAGAGAAACAAAGCCATTAAGATACTGTAGGGCAGGCAAAATTTTATCTCTGTCCTTTTAGGGTTTTTTGGCTGGACCTGAGAACTAAAGACTTGAGCAGGAGAAAAGCATTGAAATTTATCTAGGCTGGGCATTGTGGCTCATGCCTGTAATCCCAGCACTTTGGGAAGCTGAGGCAGATGGATCACTTGAGGTCAGGAGTTGAAGACCAGCCTGACCAACATGGTGAAACCCCATCTCTACTAAAAATACAAGAATTAGCCAGGCGTGGTGGCGGGTACCTGTAGTCCCAGCTACTTGGGAGGCTGAGGCAGGAGAATCGCTCTCGCTCTCTCGCCATCTTGATAAAGATGTGCCTGCTTCCCCTTCACCTGATTGTAAGTTTCCTGAGGCTTCCCAGTTATGCTTCCTGTTAAGCCTGCAGAACTGTGAGTCAATCAAACCTCTTTTCTTCATAAATTACCCAGTCTCGGATAGTTCTTTATAGCAGTGTGAGAATAGACTAATACACTGTTTTGTTTTGTTTGTTTTTGAGATGGAGTCTCACTCTAGCGCCTAGCCTGGAGTACACTGGTGCAATCTCTGCTCACTGTAACCTCCGCCTCCCAGGCTCAAGCAATTCTCCTGCCTCAGCCTCCTGAGTAGCTGGGATTACAGGTGCCCACCACCATGCCCGGCTAATTTTTGTATTTTTAGTAGAGATGGGGTTTCATCATGTTGGCCAGGCTGGTTTCAAACTTTTAACCTCAGGTGATCCACCTGCCTTGGCCTCCCAAAGTGCTGCAATTATAGGCGTGAGCCACCTCACCCAGCCTGATACACTATATTAATCAGAAACTGCCAGCTAACCTCTAACTTGGGACTTTTCACTCTAACCAGTCAAAATTGTTTTCTTTGGCTTCTGCAAATCCATGATTAGGTTTTGCTTCCTGTCTAAGAGAGGCACTAGCTGCTTTCATCTGCTGCCATCTTAATCCGTGTGTCACTGAATGCTCAAATAAACTCTTTAAAATGTAAATGGGCTTAAGTTTATATTTCAGATCTGATGTCAGAAGTAGGATCCTTCAAAAGGACATCAGAAGGATCTGAAGGATTTCTCCCCATGCTGGGCCTAATGATGGCCTCCAGGAGCAATGAACAAACAGGTGTAGGCATTTCACTGAGCCCCCTGCATGCCGCTTCCCGCAGCATATTTGAAGGTCATCACTGGTAATTCCCACTCAGATGTATTAGTCCCTTCTCACACTGCTGTAAAGAACTCCCTGAGACTGGGTGATTATAAAGAAGAGAGGCTAAGCCGGGTGTGGTGGCTCATACCTGTAATCCCAACACTTTGGTTTGGTTTTGTTGTTGTTTTCTGAGTCAGAGTCTCACTCTGTCGCCCAGGCTGGAGTGCAGTGGCACCATTTCAGCTGCAAGCTCCACCTCATGGGTTCAAGTGATTCTCCTGCCTCTGCCTCCCAAGTAGCTAGGATTACAGGCACATGCCACCACGCCTGGCTAATTTTTGTATTTTTGGTAGAGACAGGGTTTCACCGTGTTGGCCAGGCTGGTCTCAAAACTCCTGATCTCAGGTGATCCACTCGCCTTGGCCTCTCAAAGTGCTGGGATTACAGGCGTAAGCCACTGCACCCGGCCAATCCTAGCACTTCAGGAGGCCGAGGTGAGCAGATCACTTGGGGTCAGGAGTTGGAGACCAGCCTGGCCAACATGGTGAAACCCCGTTTCTACTAAAAAGACAAAAAAATTAGCTGGGCATGGTGGCACATGCCTATAATCACAGCTACTCAGGAGGCTGGGGTAGAAGAATCCCTTGAACCCGGGAGGCAGAGGCTGCAGTGAGCCGAGATCATGCCTCTGCGCTCCAGCCTGGGTGACAAGGCTTGATTGACTCACAGTCTGCATGGCTGGGGAGGCCTCAGGAAACTTACAATTGTGGTGGAAGGCGAATGGGAAGCAAGGCACGTCTTACGTGGTGTCAGGGGAGGTGAGGGGGGATGTTCCACGCACTTTTAAACCAACAGAGCACATGAGAACTCACTGTCAGGAGAACAGCAAGGGGGAAATTTGCGCCCATGATCCAATCACCCCCCACTAAGCCCCTCCCTCAACACGTGGAGATTAGAATTCAAGGTGAGATTTGGGTGGGGACAAAACCAAACCGTATCACATACAAACTCCAGAACTTTAATTGAGTTTTGCTGATCTGGACTGGGTTTGGAAGTTGTGATGGAAGTTTAACGAATCCTGTAGGGAGGCTTCAGGTATCTGACTGGGTCAGACAGAAACTGAAATGGTTTTAGTAAAAGACCTCTAATAGGTAAGGTTCCAGGAAAACAAACAATTCTGGGTTCATTTAAATCCAGGGGGTCTGGGACTCCATCACAGGACTCGTGCTCTTCTAGAGAAATGAGTGAATCTTACCAAAAATAATTTAGAATTTTAGTGGCCACAGTGGGGAAGTTTTAACCTGAACAAAACTGCTCATCTCCAGACTGCATTGAAAAAAAAGAGGGGGGATCCCAAACACCCCAGAAATAATGGGATGTATTTTTGGTTGGCAAGCAGAGGCTTCTAAGTTCTCCCTCTTTCTCACTAGCCGCCTCTGCCTCCTCTGAATCTGCTGACTTCTTTGCTTGGTTACTTTCCCACCTTGACGATGCAATGAAAAAAACCCAGCTAGATAAGTTATAAAAGTTAGGCTGTCAAATCAACCATGTCTGTTTCTTTAACTACCCTTATGCCGTGGTTAAAATCTTAAGCTCAGAGCAATAATGAAAGGTATTCCTGTCCGGCATAGAAAATGCTTTGTCTGCCCTACTTGTGAATGGGCTCCACCCTGACCTCAGTAATCTAGTTACACATATGTTGATAGGACCTGAAGAAGTTCAAAGTTAGATGCAAGAGCAGAATGGTACTGCTCTGAGGACAATAGCCAAGGTCCACAAGCCCCTATTTGGTCCATATATAGGCCAGAAAAAACAGAAACTTTTGGCCAGGCACAGTGGCTCACACCTGTAATCCCAGCACTTTAGGAGGCTGAGGCGGGCGGATCACGAGGTCAGGAGATCGAGACCCTCTGGGTAACTAATTGGTGGCAACTCCCTGTCCTTTACTAAAAATACAAAAAAATTAGCCAAGTGTGGCAGGCGCCTGTAGTCCCAGCTACTTGGGAGGCTGAGGCAGGAGAATGGCATGAACCTGGGAGGTGGAGCTTACAGTGAGCCGAGATCATGCCACTGCACTGTTTTTTATTTGTTTGTTTTGTTTTGTTTTGTTTCTTTGAGATGGAGTCTTGCACTGTCGCCCAGGCTGGAGTGCAGTGGTGTAATCTCAGTTCACTGCAGCCTCGACCTTCCAAGCTCAAGCGATCCTCCCATCTTAGCCTCCTGAGTAGCTGGGACCATAAGCACACACCACCCTGCCAGGCTAGCTTTCATTTTTTGTAGAGATAGGGATTCAAGCTGTCCTGAATATATGTTCTGATTATCAGCAGATACAAGGGTTTTTTTGGTTTTGTTTCTTTTTTTTGGTTATTTATTTATTTATTTTTGAGATGGAGTCTCACTGTGTTGCCCAGGCTGGAATGCAATGGTGTAATCTCGGCTCACTGCAACCTCTGCCTCCCGGGTTCAAATGATTCTCCTGCCTCAGCCTCCCGAGTAGCTGGGACTATAGGTGCCCGCTATCATGCCCAGCTAATTCTTGTATTTTTAGTAGAGATGGGGTTTCACCATATTGACCAGGCTGGTCTCGAACTCCTGACCTTGTGATCTGCCCACCTTGGCCTCCCAAAATGCTGGGATTACGGATGTGAGCCACCACACCTGGCCACAAAGGGGGTTTTAAAGAAAAAAAGAATGGGTGGCTTCTTAGCTAAAAATTAACTATTGATTGGATATACATTGTTCTTCCTATCACAAATTTCAGGACTCAAACTCCTGGGCTCAAAAAAGAGAATTTAGTGAAGGCTCAAGGCCAAATTGATTAGAAACACAGAGGAACAAAGCAATGGGAACTCAGTTGAGCCATCTGCTTACAAAGGAGCCATGACATGAGAGCATTTCTAAGCATCTAGCTATCATGATTTTATTTTTTGTTGTTGACTTAAGACATCTAGAAATGCAAAGCATAATCAATTTAAGAATAAAAAGTACTGGCTGGGCGCGGTGGCTCATGCCTGTAATCCCAGCACTTTGGGAGGCCAAGGTGGGTGGATCACCTGAGGTTAGGAGTTCAGGACCAGCTTGGCCAACATGGTGAAACCTGCCTCTACTGAAAATACAAAAATTAGCCAGGTGTGGTGGCGCATGCCTGTAATCCCAGCTACTCAGGAGGCTGAGGCAGGAGAATCTCTTGAACCCAGAGGCAGAGGTTGCAGTGAGTTGAGATGGTGCCACTGCACTCTAGCCTGGGCGACAGAGCGAGACTCCATCTCAGAAAAAAAAAAAGAAAAAGAACAAGGTGACTGGTTGTGGTCAGCTT